CCAAAGACAAAGTTCCAGCAGCTGCCCCCCTGAAGAATTGTTAATATGGGTATGAGTTTGGGAAGTGAGTGAGCCCAGAGAGAAAGAGCCTGGGAGGAAACAGGAAGACAGGCAGCTCATACTTACCAACAGTGTATTCAGAACAGCAACAACAAACCAAACTAAATCAGATTTATACCTTATTATAAACAAACCAAAGTTCAATAGCACTAATGAATGATGAAACACATAACAAAATATGTTGCAGGGGCACACAAAGCACATATGTGACCATTTCTCCTGATTTTACTGGTGCATTATAAATATCTCTGGTCACTAACATAGTCAAGAGTCAATAAACATTTATTACTGGTGTATAATACACTAGGCACTTGGCTAAGTAACTGGGTATACAAATACAGACAGTCCCTGCTCTCAAAGAACTTACAATCTAATAGGAGAAGGTAATAAACCAAAAAAAGCTGAAAGGAAGGAGGTTGGGCAGGTTGGGCAGGGGCCTAACGATGGAGACGTCCTACAGCAGTATAGCCGATGGGTAATAGTTTCAATACTTCTACCGTGACCTCCCAGGTTTCTAGATGGTTAACTGTAAGTATCTGTTGGTCTTTTTCTGTTTTTGTGGATAGCCCAGTCTGGCTATCACAGTCTTTCATGGGTTCACTCTGTTCCTTAGGACTATTTACAACTGGGGTATTGGGGTAAAACAAAGTGGTTGTAGTGATTGTTGTTCAGTTGTGTCCAACTCTTTCTGACTCCATCTGGGATTTTCTTGACAACAATATTAGAGTGGTTTGCCATTTCCTTTTCCAGTTCATTTTTTAGATGAGGAAACTGAGGTAAACAGGGTTAAGTGACTTGTCCCACAGCTAGTGTCTGAGGTCAGAGTTGAACTCAGATCCTCACGACTCCAAGCCAATGCTCTATCCACTGTGCTGCCTGCTGCCTAAAACAAGGTTGCCTACAGGTACAGTCCATCATCTAAACCAGAAACATACTTGGCTGAGTTTCCTGGAAAAAGGGGTATTAGCAACACATAGTTCCATCCTCAGAATCCCGTATTTCTCTGAATTCCTCATATTGCTCACTTCTTCCTATTTCCATGATATTCACATACCAGTTTGCTCAGCCATTCTTCAACTGATGTACCAACTAAATTTAATCTTAAGTCCAGCCTGTCAAAAGTCTTTATGGAGTCGTCGTCTTTTCTCCAACACATTAACTGTCCTTCATTGTTCTGTGACATCTGAAACTTTGATATGCACACCTTCTATGTCTTTATTCATATTTTGGATAGAAAGCTAAGCAGATTAAGACCTAGGACTGACTGATTGTTGTGGCACGCCACTAGAAACCTTCTTCCAGGTTGACAATGATCCATTAACTAATTCTCTTTGGGCATGGTTTTTCAACCCAGCTATACATAATTCCGCCCAGCTATATTATCACCCAGCTTACTTTTCTCTATCTTATCCATGAGTCTATCACATGAGGCTCTGTCAAATGCTTGCAGATAGCCTATGTCTCAAGCATTTCCTTGACCTGTGTGGTAACCTTGTCAAAATATGATGTCCGTATTAAGAAAACCTCATCAGCCAGCAAAACTCCCATCAGCCTTGGTCTTCCACCTCATCACCATCCTCTATTGCTCTGATTGGAGGCTGGAGCCACGAACTCCAAAACCTCCATTTAAGGAGAGAGCTCAACTCAGAACATCTCATTCCTCACTTGCCTATACTATACTACTTTGAGACTTTTTGGACTTTTCTTTTTTTGCTTTTTTTTTTTTTTTTTTGCTTTTTGGTGAGTCATTTGGGGTTAAGTGACTTGCCCAGGTCACAGCTAGTAAGTGTCATGTGTCTGAGAATGGATTTGAACTTGGGTCCTCCTGGCTCTAAGGCCAGAGCTCCATCCACTGAGCCACCTAGCTGCCCCACTTTTTGGACTTGCCTTTCTCCTATGCCAGGGGTGGGAAACCTTAATAAAAGGATTTGTTCTGTAAAACCTGGCCTCAATCAAACGGCCACACTCAAGGACCTAGAAGGCCACAGGTTCCCCACCCCTGTACCCCCTTTTCAGCTTCCTTTAGTGGATTATCTACCCCTATTAGATAGTAAGCTCATTGAGGGTAGGGACTGTCTTTTTTGTATTTGAATCTCCCCCCATCCCCCTTTTAGAGTTTCTGGAACATAGAAGGTACTTACATAGAAGAGATATATACCAAATGATCTGTTATTCCATCAGTGCATTGAGTTCTCTCTCCAATGACAAAGATCACTACCTATCCATGTCTGTCTATCCTGTGTGATCCTACCCAAGAACTCCCATAAATTCACCAAAGGGGTTCCACACCCAACAAGGGCATGGAGGAGCCATCATTCAGTTCTCCTGACATCACAATGCCTATAATATGTGGGCTGTTAGTAGATTAATCCACACTCTCCCTTCTCTGAACAAACCATCCAGTTTTTTCAGTCATACACTTCTTTGATAACATCCTTTCCACTGTGATTGCTTATTTGTAGAAATGTGGAGTACGAGATTTCATAGGACAGACAATCCAACTTCTCACTAAATGTAGTTGGACATCCCCCTCTATTTAAAAAAACAAATAAGGAGGATTCCTGTATTAAAAGGGAGGATGGTTTGGAAGGCCTACAAGACCTCTGAATTCCACAGTCTTATGATTCTAAGTGTCCAATGTGTGAAATAGTCAAAGGTGTTAAAGGAGTTCACAGGAGAGAACCATGCCTGAAGATTAAAGTAGGACAAGGGCTCTGTGAAGAAAGTGAAATTTGATCTGGATCTAATAAAAAAAGTAGGACTTAAAGAACTGAAATGAAATAAAATTGATTTTTGAGAGGCATGTGTTTTAATGCACAGAGTTCTAAACTTTGGGTCAGGAAGAATGGTTTCAAAATTTACATCTGACACTTTGTTTATGATCCTAAAGAAGTCATTTAACCTCTATGTAATTCAACAAAACTTCCTAGAAATTTTATTTGCTGATAAATAGAGGAGGACTCCCACAAGAAAATCATAGATCCTTCCTGTAAAATTAATTTTATGTTGATGGTTTATAAAAAATTAAACCCATAACACTCCCAATTAAATTGGCACAAATTAAAGTTTTTCAAAACCAGGCTGGTAATTCCTGTTGCAATCTATCAATCACTGATTCTGCATGTTGAGGAAAAAATATTAATACCAATGCAATACTCATCTATTTAAACTCAAGTCTTTGAGAAATAATTTTATTTCATTAAACATTAATCTACCATCCAAGCTATCCTGGAAAAAGATCTACAAACTGGTATAGTTCCCCATGATCTGTACCATGAAAGAATATTGTACAAGGAAAAGTTATCTTAAAATACAGTCTGAGTTAAGATTCCAAAATTAAGCATGATCCCATTCCTCTTGGAAGAGTCCCATGACTCCAGAAGTTAAAACAAAATAACTGCCTCCATTCCACTGATATCTTAATCCTTTATCAATGGAGATGGGTGTGTCCTATGCCCATTACTCCAGGTAAGGGGGGGGGGGGTCAGAACCAGAACAAAACCAGTAAAAGCTGCTTACTACCTTTTTTGTACTCCTTTCCAGGAGCTTTTCCAAAGACGTTAGAAAGAGCTTTTGAGAAAAATGTAATTTCTTAATATTTTCTATAGAAACTTTAAAAGATTTTCAACATTCTTCCACAAATATATCATCAATATACTAAAAATCACAGAACAATGTAATTGAAAGGACTCTTCAGACTTCATCTAGTGTGGCTCCTAGGTTCCAATACCTAAAACAATGATGTAGATCTGAAATGCCCCATTTTTTTCCCCAACATCTCAAGGGTGACATCAACATTCTATAAAAATTCTAGGAATATAAATTGAATCTACTCCAATAATAATAATCTCCAAGTACCAGATGACTGGTACAACTAAAAGAAAAGATCACAGAGATTTAGAATTCAGAGATCAAGTTTAACCTTCTCATTTTACAGATAAGGAAACTGAGACTTGCCAAAGTTTCTAGGTGATCCAATCAGATCTCAGCGCTTCAATTATCATCTTTATGCAGATGATTCTCAAATCTACTCCCCCAATCTCCAACCTCTTGAAATGGATGTCCTGTAGACATCTTACAATCAACATATCCAAAACTCAACTCACTATCTTCCCCACCCCATAAACCCTTCTTTCTTCTGCCTTTTTGTATCCCCAGTGATTACCACAGTGCCTGGAACATAGTAGGCATTTAATAAATGCTTATTGAATTGAATTCAATAAACCCAAGCAGCTCCCTTTCACCTCCAGAATTAAATACCAAAATCCTCTGCTTGGCATTCAAACCCTTTCATAACCTGCACCTCTACCCCTTTTACCAGGCTTCTTTACAGCCTTACTCAGAGCCAGTGGCACCTCGAATTCTCCACCCTATCTCTGCTCCAGGCACTGGTCCTTCATGCCTGGAATGCTCTCCATTCCATTGTGGCTTCCTTTAAGTCCCAGCTAAAATAACACCTCCTACAGGAAGCCTTTCTCTGTCCTTTATTCCAGTGCCTTCCCTCTGTTGCTTATTTCCAGTTTATTCTGTATAAAGACAGTATTGTTTGCATGTTGTCTCCCCCATTAGACTGTGAGCTCCTTGAGGGCAGGGGCCGTCTTTACCCCTCAAGCTTAGCACAGTGCTTGGCACACAGAAGGCCTTCAATAAAAGCCTGCTGCCTAGGCTTCAACTCAAATCAAATTATTCTAAGCATCATCTAATTATCATCTAATATCATCTAATTATCAGATTATTCTAATTCTCCATAACAGCTAGCCCCCAAAATGGCTGTCACCTTGTTCCCTAGAATAAAATAATTAATAGTAAATGGCTCTCCATCCCCAAGCTCCATCAGGTTGAGGGAAGGAAGGGGTGGGAGGTGAAAGGGGGGGAGGAAGCGAGGTAAGGTCTCGAGCATTACGGGAGCTGTAGGCCACTTGAATTGTGGGAAATGTAGTCCCACGAGGTGGCCTTCCTCTGTAGCCTGATTCCTGTAATGGCTGCTTCCTGTCCGGTAGCGTAAGAGTCCGGACCCGGGGATCCTTAGCTTCTGTCGCTGCTGCCACTGCGCCGAGTACTCCTAGGGAAAGGTAGCTCTGTGCCCCCTGGCAGCCTCGAATATAGCCTTGAATGCCGAAGTACTCGGTTCATTTTGGGGCTCGCCTGGCGTCCGAATGCCCCGCATTAACTTGGGAGTCCCTAGTTCCTGGGCTGGGCGAGGTGGGGGCGAGGGAGGAGGAAGGCGATGGAGAAACTGATTTGTGGAGTTGGGTTTTTTTTTCCTTCTTCCTGCTAGTTTCCACGCCGCCCTGCCCGGAGCTCTACCTTGAGCCGCAGCTTCCGTCCAGAAGCAGAGCCCAGACCAGTGTCCTCAGTCATTTAATTGCCTCACTCTGTTTCTTGCTGATAGGTGCCTTAAGGGAAGCCTTGATCGTGCCGCAGAAGGGACAGTGCCCGCACGTGGCCCGGTGCACAGCCGGCTCTCGGTAAGGCTTAGCCGTGTCGTCAAGGCCGAAGGGCCCCACAGCTCCTCTTCTTCCCGGCCCCAGTGAGTGTGGAAGGAAAGGTGATTTGTGTACATGAAAGCATGATCACCTACCTAGATCACCTAGCTCAACCCTTCATCTTACAGTTGAATAAACTGAGGCCCACGAAGGTTGAGGGACGTGTCACCCATAAATGGGGCAGCTTGGTTGCACAGGGGTTAAAGTGCTGGGCCCAGTTCAAATCGGGACTGGAACATTTACTAGCTGTTAGACCTTGGGCAAGTTGCTTGACCGCTGTTTGCCTCTGTTTACTCATCTGTAAAATGGGGATAATGATATCACCTATCTCCCAGGGTTGTTGTGAGGATCAAATGAGATAATAATTTAAAGAGCTTAGCACAATGCCTGGCAAATTGTCAGCATTTTAAGAAATTATTGTTCCATTCTTAACCCCTCCCTTAACACTTCTGACACTTTTAGTTACCTCTCCTACTTTAGCATAGCATATCATCTTCCCCAGTAGACTTAATAACTTTGGGGAAATGTCTCCATGTCTCTTTGCCTTAATGGTCCCCATTTCCCCCCATGTTTGTTTTGTAGACCCTAGCCTTGATTATTTTCCTTCAGCCTTCAAGATCCAGGCAACATGGCCTCCATTGGCGATGTCTCCCAAGTGTTCCTGGTCCTCCTTTCCTTGCTCTGTGTGCTGCCTGTGGTTGAAGCAGTAGAAGCCGGGGATGGCATAGCACTTCTGTTGGGCATGTTTCTCAGCCTCACGGGCATTTGTGCCTGTTTGGGGATATATGCCAGAAAGAGAAATGGACAGATGTGACTTTGGTGGGGGATGGGGTCTCCCAAGGCCAACATGGACCTGAAAGCCTCTCTGTGTTTGAGATTTCAAGCTGAGAAACCAGCTTCTTAAACGTCAAGGTCCAGATAGTAAGCAAATGGTTATTTCCTATTCCTTGGAAGATGTTGCCTTAAAATGTAAAAGCTGCTTTATGTAAAAATGGAAGGAGGGGTCATTTTCTTCATGTTCAGTATAAGTCTGATGGTTCATCAATGTGAAAATTGGCCAATAACCTGTAAGGGCTGATAGGAAGGGGTGGAGGGTGCTGTCAGAGAAATAAAGTAACTATCATTTAACCTAAGTGGTATTCCATGACTTCTGGAGTAACGAAGATATAGGAAAAAGGAACTACCTGTTTAAAATTGTTGGATGTCAGATATTTTCTGTACCCTAATATTAAGAAAAATGCTACGCAAAGAGGAGTTGAGGAGTCCTTGTTCTGTATTTATATAAAAAAATTTGTCTAGTTTGTAACCCCAGATAAATACTACAGTTAAACATAAAGTTCACCTAGTAGACATTTGGAAGTTTAGAAAATTCTTTCTTCATAAGGAATTTAGAAACACGTATGTTACTACATATTTGCTGTTTAAATAAAGGAAAGGTTTAATGTTTAAAAAAAAGTTTTATATTGATTACCAAGCACCTCTGTGAAACACATTAAAATAAACATTAGACTGCTATGCTAACAAAATGAATACTTATGTTTGATTTCATTTATTTGGTGATGTTTGTTATTTTTAAGGAATGTGGACCATGAGTTAAGTTTTCATTCTATTTTAACCATGAGAAAAGAAACCTTATCTTGACTGACCTAATCAGAACAAGCTTCCTGGAGGAGACAGAATCAGAAAGAAATTTAAACCAAGAAATGGTGAATGCATAGCAGAAACTGACTAGAGATATTATGAGAGATGCCATGGGGAAAAGTCCACAGGAACTGTGAAAAAAAAGGTGCAGCCTAGAAAGAATGTTCCAGTTGGGCAGTATAAAAGTGATTGAGCAAATGAAGTCTGAACTAGGAGTGACCAATGAGTAGGCAATTAAGGACTTCAGAGACAAGCTGTGTCATTGTGATATTGGACCCCTCACTTTATATTGGATGAAGGCAAGGCAGCAGGATGATGAAATTCTCTACACTGTGATATCTAAATATAGAATGATAAGGATCTGCTAGTAAAGGATATGGGAAGGAAAATATATAGATTTTAGAAATGTTACAGAGAAAATGAATTTATCTCTATTTTCACTAATTTTTTTTTTTTTTATCAGCAAATGGTCCTTTTGGGAGAGGGAAAGAGGGGTGTGCAGCTTTAAAAGTGCAAAAAGATGCTACATTTGAAGCCCAGGACTCTTGGTTCGGATCTTGGTTCTGTCATTTGCTTCCTATGTTACAGGCAAGTCATCTGACCTGTCCACCCAGGTCTCTCTTCATTTAGGAAAAAAGAAAAAAGGTTGGACTAGATCTCTAATTCCCTTCCAGCTGTAAATCTAATCCTATGTATTAATCAAATTGGTAATTAGGCATAGTAGAATTACTGGAACTAAATTTAAAATATATTTTTAAAATGAGTAAAGAAAAAACATGGCAGGCTATTGAACAGTTTTCCTGCAGTTGTAGTCCAGTGCAACCACAACAACATGCCAGTTGTTGTCCCTTCCCTGCAAGCCTAAATGTATCCATTAAGCCTGTGAAATCTGGAAAAACACCTTCAACACTGCAGAAGATTAGAGTCATTTAATCCCTGCCTGATGCTATTAAAATGATACTCAAAATGAGACAATGGATTGAAAGGATCTATCTTGAGTAAAAATATGTTTTTGTGCTTTTAAAATGCCTAAGAAAAATGGGGGGACATTATATTCTCGTTTTTTTCCCCCTAAAGATAGAGGAGTATCAAGGCAAACTATATTGAGGGAGATGATGAGAGCTGCTCTTTTAAAAAGCTTTAGACATAGGATCATTCCTCACATATGTTGGTATGGTTCCCATGGCTCTGAATGAAGGAAGGAGGATGAATAGAAAGGCTTTCTTCCAGGCCTGTGGTCCCATGATTTGTTTAAAGGGGAACAGCTAGATGGTACAGTATATAGAGTGTCTGGGCCTGGAGTCAGGAAGACCTGAGTTCAAATTCAGCCTCAGACTTCCTAACTGTGTGACCGGGAGCAAGTCATTTAACCTCTGTTCCTCTTAGTTTCCTCTTCTGTAAAATGGGGATGATAGCAGCTACCTCTGATGATTGTTGTGAGGATCAAATGAGATAATAATTGTAAATCACTTAGCACTGGGCCTGGCACATAAATGCTACCAATAAATTTAAACTGAAAGCCGAGTTAGAATCAGAGGAGACAAATGGAAATGTTCCTCCTGGAACTATTTATTGGAAATGGCAGAAAATAATGTAGTGTGACAGTAAAGAGAATAAGTTGAAGAATATGGACTTGCTTCATGCACCATGCCTTTAATCTCACATCCAAAAGAGCCAAAGAGGCAAATTCCCTGAGGGTGAGATGATTTGGGAAGGTAATAAAACTGCCCTGCCCTGCCCTTCAGAATACCTGTCCAGAAGGAAGAGATAATTATAGAACCATGGTAGGGGTGAAGCTCCACATAGGGTAGTCCCATCCTCATTTGGTCCTTGCTGTGGACCCTGGTGACAGCCCCAGATCCATTAATGCCCAGGTTCTCTGAGCTGCCCTGACCTATGATTCCTAGTGTTTTATGCTCATAGCCTCAAGGTGATACAGTAGATAGAGCAGTAGTCTTAGAGTCAGGAAGACCTGAGTTCAAATATGGCCTCAGGTACTGTGACCCTAAGCTGATCACTAAAGCTGTCTACCTCAGTTTACTCATCTTTTAAATGGTGATAAATAATAGCACCGATCTCCCAGGGTTGTCATGAGGATAAAATGAGATATTTATAAAGCATTTTCTAAACTTTAAAGCACTATGTAAATGCTATTATTGTTATAATAATTTAACCCAACTTGACTATAAGTTTCTTAAAACAGGTTGTCTGGCCATCTCTGGGCTAATCTCATCAAATAGCACTCACAGGTTAGCTGTCCCAGGGGATGACTACTCCAGGTCCTCTGTGATTCCACACTCCTAAAACTCAACATCTTCCTCCTGGAGACTGTTGTAATAACCTCCTAATTGGTCTCCCTCCCCCAACTCCGTCCTTCACACTGCTGCCATAGTGATTTTCCTCAAGTGTAGTCTCACCTTGTCTCTTCCCTATTCAATAGTCCAGAGGCTCTTGTTTCCTCTAGGAGCAAATTGGCCTTCAATCAGAATTTATACATTACTGTCCTTCCTACATCTACATGGTTCAGCCAGATTGACCTTACTGTTCTCTACCCACCACGTTCTCCCCTTTGTAAACTGTCAGTTCTACCTTTCATTTCTGCGTTTGTATCCCCAGCCCCTAGTACAGAGTCTATCAAACAGCAGGGATTTCATAAAATGCTGTCAAATGACTGATTGGGTTTTGAGGGGCAGGCTTCTTCTCATCATTCTTTTTTCAGATTCCTCAAAAGTATATACCATAGCTTTCTTTCCACAAAGGGTTGTTGTGGTTCACTCATGTCTGACTCTCCATGACCCTATTTGGGGTTTTCTTTATAAACACACTGGAGTGGTTTGCCATTTCCTTCTCCAGCTCGTTTTACAGATGAGAAAACTGAGGCAAATAGGGTTAAGTGACTTGCCCAGGATCACCCAATTAGTAAGTGTCTGAGGCCAGATTTGAACTCGTGAAGAGGACTCTTCTTGACACCAGGCCCAGCACTGTATTCGCTGTGCCACCTATCTGCCTTCTACAAAGGGACTGATACTTTAATAAATACACCAAATGGATCCTAACCCCTTCTCAGGCATCCCCTTTGGAAAGCATATCACACACATGAGTTTGTGTGTGTGTGTGTGTGTGTGTGTGTGTGTGTGTGTACATATATTCCAGATGTTCTTTGTAAAAAGCATTTCTAGAACACTTTTTTTAAAAATTGTCTTCAGAAACTTAAGTACATTCTTACTCACATGATAGAGAGTTCATTATTTGTTGACTAGCCTTGAGCTTATTGTTCAGGGTGGACATGTGAAATATCAGATAAAAAAATCATTTGCCTCATTCCATTCCATTCACCTTTCAACTTTTGAAGAACACAGCTCAGTTCCTCTCCTTCACCACCACTACTACCCAGAACATTTTATCCTTTGATCTCTATCCTGCTACTGGACCCAGGTGGCTTCAAAGAAGAGAGGCTGGTGACTTTGCACAGTCCTGCCTCACTTAAATCCAATTCACTTGACGCAAGTCACAGCGTCACCTTCTTGATGTCATGGTTCTGTCCTAAAATGAAGGACAAACAACAACAAGCTAAGCTGAGGAGCACCCATCACAACGTAGATATCAGGAATGGATGAATGGAAAAATGTATTTATGAAGTGACTACAACATGCCAAGCTCTGTAATAAATGCCAGAGATACAAAAACAAGGAGTGTGGCAGAATTAGAAGTTGGCTATAAGGGACATCCTGGAGTTTTATTCTGTCTGCTTCGAGGGCGTCAGTGATCGACTTCTTGAAAAACAGCTTTAGTCTAAATTGTGTGAGAATTAGCTTGGCACGGAAAATCTCATAGCTTCTTATACCCCAACGCACGCTCACCCCATCTAGCTCTTGTTAGCACTGCTGACAAGTTCCAACAAGTTATTCCTATAGCATCTCAGCTTATAGCACAAAAGGAAAGAATTCTTTGAATGTCATCCTTTCTGCTCTCCCCTGAAGAGCCAAACATCTGGCCCTGTGCACCTGGGGAGTGTTTTCTTAGGAGGAGGGTATCCTTGCTGAGGACAGTAGTGTATTTAAATTTTAAATATAACTCTCAGCATGTCCACAGAGCAAACTCCATAATCACCTGCCCTTCTTTTCAAATCTGACATTTGTCAGCTTCTGTGAGGCCCCCATGGACAAGGCTCAAGGCCTGGTTATTTTCTTTGTTGTTTTCTGTATTTTTGCCTTAGGCTTTGCAAACAGATGAAATGAGAAAACTGATTCTGTGAAGAAAGGGGAAGTGTGGCTTTTCTCAAGCTTTCTCAAACTTACCTGTTTATGCCTAAGACTGCAAAAAAGGGGGCAGGGGAAAGGAGGGAGGAGGAGAAGAAAGAAGATGATAGGGGTGGGTTAAGGGAGAGAGCCAGATCAGTTTCAGTATTTCAAAGGTATTTAATCACAAGCTTTAATAAAGTCACAAAACAAAACTTAAAAGCCATTACTCAGGTCCACTGAGGACAGAACAGGCTTTTTGTTTTGCCCGTTCTGGAATATGACAGATCTCTTTCAGATTCCAGGGGAATAAAAATGTTGCCATCAACTCATCTCATCACCCAGAAAGATGTGGACCGTATAAAAACTATTTACACTTGGTTCTCTATTAGAAAGGAGGAAAGAGTGAAGGAAAGAGAGAAAAAAAAAGGAAGGAAAGGAAGGAAAAGAAAAGAAAAAAGTCTCTCTGATTTACTAATCCCAGGAACGGATGGCGTCATTTCTTAAGATGAACAGGGCCCAGTTGATGGTGTGTTTGCAGAGAGCGTATTTCCTAGGTGACTACTGCAATTGCTGAATTGTTAGAGAGTCACGTTGTAAATGATTCTATTAATAACCTTGTGATATTGAGTCTTCCCCTT